GACAGAGTCTTCATTTGAATATGAAGACAGATAATGTCCACATAGTGGGTGTCACTGACAGAGTCTTCATTTGAATATGAAGACAGTTAATGTCCCCATAGGGGGTGTCAATGATGACTGCCTATGATGTCAATGGGGTTGTCAATGATGACTGACTATAAATAGTGACATATTATATGCAATGCATATAGTGTTAATGGTCATTTTGCAGTTAAATGTATAGAAAATGTCTGTTCAAGCATAATTAGAGTACTGTTTAAAATAGATAAGTAACAGCTATCACAATTCATTTGCATTCACACTATATCAAGCTAAACACAGAGCTCATTAATGACTTTATTTTTGAATTATTGATTTCATTCAATTTATAATTCATTATTGAAAACGAAGTATTCAAAAGAAGAATAATTGGAAAGTTTGTTGATTGGATTACTACTTAGGAGTTCACAGAAAATCAAAAGCCACAGTTATCCAATCAACAATCAAATTTTCAAACTATTCTTTTGAATATTGAAGACTTCGTTTTCGATAATGAATTTCTAAATCAAATAATGAAATCAAGAATCCAAAAATAAAGTCAATGAGCTCTACATGTTCATACTTGAGGTAATTTGACTGTAAATGATTATGACTTATATTATGACAGTCATAGTTTTTACTTTCAGCCATGGCCAATGTACTTATAATTCTGCCAATAATTAAATGTTCCTTAAACTACATATGCATATGAATATTTGGGGGATATAGTACTTGCAGATTTTAAGAAACAATAATCATAAAAATGAAATCAGGACCTGTAGTCAGTTTTCATTTTTGTATTAGAACATGTAGAATATTGCATACTGACAAGAGTCTATTATAGTTTCTATATACCAGTAGTACCGAACCTTACACTCGGTAGATCAACTGGTTAGTTAGAATATTCTATACCTGTTTGCTGCCAATAATGAACTGTATCCTAAACCACATTATGCATTATTATTGTGTATCACTAGTAATATACAAGTAGATGTTTTTCATTGGTTAGGATTATTATTTTGGATGATGTAGTACTTGTGGTTTTTAAGAAATTAATGTGTGGTTCCAGAAATTATCCATACCCCCTCCCCCCACAGAGGGGTAGAGGGGATGGGGGTCTTTAAAAGAATAAGTAATAATAATATTATTACTCCATTGGGAGGGTATGGATAATTTCTGAAACTACAAATCATTATTTCAAAAATGAAATCAGGACCCGGCAGTCAGTTTTCATTTTTGTATCAGTACATGCAGAATATTGCATACTGATAAGATTCCATTACTACTTTTACCAGTAGCTAGTACATAATTTCAAATATTGGTTAAAATATTTTAATCCAGCTTAGGGAAACCTTTGTAGTCTAGACATCATCTGAACAGCTTTTTATTAGTGTCATATGCATATACAATAGGGCTAAAAATAATTAACGGCAGTGCTCCATTTTTTAATGGCTTCACATGTTGGTCTAAGCCATAAATTGGACTGGTCAACATGATGCATATGTGTTCAAGACGCCATGACTTGAAAAAAAATGAAATCAGGGCCAGAGTGTCAGTTTTCATTTCAAATCGAGTAGTCATAGTTTATGTTCACATGTTGATGCATGTATATTGTATATATTAGTAATAGTTCATAGGCATATATAATCAGCTAATATTATAACCAACCATCAATCACTTATATTATAGTTTAGATCAGCTTGGTGCAGAGCACATTTATTAAATTAACTCATTCAATTTCTGCATATTTTTCAAACATTGTATTCTGGCTTCTATATTATTTAACAGAGTCCACAAGGCCACTCAAAATTGGCTGCTTTAATTTTTAAAAGGGTTTTAACTAATATAGATAATATTTAGTATTTTATTAACATGCTGTAAATATATGGGCTTGCACATGGGCATCTAGCTAATAAGAATCTTATACACAATTATTGTAAAACAGGTTTAAAGACTTAATTTAAAGGAGAATTCATGTAGAGTAACATGAAAAATGTACTATGTAATAATGAAAAATGAATGCCATACTTAAAACATAGAATGCATCAATTTAAGTGGGGAATAAAATGTGTAAAATATGAAATGTAGAAGATGTCTTTTATTTTTAGAATGGGAAAATGAGAGAATGGGATTTTTTTTAGAATGGGACTGGGATTCATCTAGATCGGGAAAAATGGGTTTTGGCGGTGAGGTCAAAACAATGTTCCAGAATAGGGACCCAATTTTATGAATTAAGGTGGTGGATACCGGTAGATACCCCCTCCCCCCTCAGAGACCTGTTCAAATGCTCGATACTGTGGGTCTGCAGTGGCAATTTCTATACACAAATATGTTTTTTTAGCATACATGCAGACAGACAGTCCATTCATTTCTGTGATTTGGCTTTTAGTTTTGGAGATATTTGGAGACAAAATCTAAGATTTCGCAAGAGGTTGTGGGTACCGGGTAACACCACCCCTCCCCCTAAATCGGGTACAGTGAGATGACAATTGTTTTGCCCTCATCCCTAAAATGATACAGGAACTTGATTTTGGAAAATGGCATTCAATGCAAAAAGTAATAAAAATGTAAACTTAAGTTCCTCTTCACTTAAATTTCCAATCTGGGGGACAAAGCAAAAGAATTTCTTTCTCCGTGTCAGAGGATTGATCTTTTTATGTAAATAATTGCCAAAGTTGGAAAACTGCATGGTCAGGGCTTTGATACTTGTTTTTCTGTGTCTGTCAGCAAACTCTTGTGGGGAGGGGAGGGGGGGAGGGATTCCTTGCATTTAAATTGTTTAACATTCTCAGTTTCAATTCTTGTCAATCTTTAAATTTCTCAATACTAAAAGCCCTGTATTGCCCTAATCTCAACCATGAAATTAAAAGACTAGTATATGACACAATACGGTACCAGAATTCGCGAATTATGGAATTTAATACCTTTGCAAATTTTTTACTAAATATATGACATAATTTTTAATTATTTTTATACGGTATCAAGAAAATTGCGAACTTTTTTTATTAGTAGTGTTAAAGAAAATTGCAAAATTTGCAAACATGTAAGTCCCGCAAAAAAAAAACCCTCGGTCAACCGAAAAAAGGAAGGAATGAAGGGAAAAAAAACGCACATCCCATCCTTTCCAGCTTTGATTCGGACAGCAGCGCTGTAGAAAAGGTAGGTAAACGTTTTGTCTTTCATTATTTAGTTATGTCATTTTAAAAATCGAGAAAGCTTATTATAATATTAAGCCGTTTTGATTTACATTCCG